AAAATAATTTATAAAAAAAAAAAGGAAAAATATGATTCGAAACTATCTGAGATAAATTTAAAGTTATTATTGTGAGGAGGAGGCTCAAACTCAATTTTAACGAAAAAAAAAAAAACCTGGAATTCTTTCTCCAGTAAATGGAAAAAATAAACTAAAAAATTTATGTTTGGTTGAATGAATATGATTCTTTTAATAATCCTCTTAGCTTTTCGAGGCTTTTTCCTTTCGATTGTTATTTTTTTTTTCTTTTTCTTCTTTTTTTTTTCTTTTCTCCAGAAACGTTTTGCTAACTTTAGCTTCAACCAAACAAAAAAAATTTTTTTATTTATTTACGATTTTAATAAAACTGGAGAAAAAAAAACAACAACCACGAGATCATTCATTATTAAAAATAAATGAATGAATTTTTTTTGTGACAATGGCGGACACCTTTAAAAAATTTTCCACATCTTAAAATATTATTTTAAGCTTTCCAAGAAAAAAAAAAAAAAAAACTGGAAAAATATTTTAAACATAAATTTTTTTTTTTTTTTTTTTTTTTTCATTTTCGAAATCTATCCAAAGCGCGGAATTTTATTATTATTATTTTTTTTTTTTGGGGGGGTATGGGGGTACGGAAAACTTGATTAAATTCTATTTGATATTTTTTTTTTTTTTTTTTGATAAATTTGACAGGAATTCGATGGTTTTTTTTTTCCCCGTTTCAAACTATAATCAATAAATGCGTATGCGTACGTATATATATATACCTCAAAAAAAAAAAACGGAAAAACGGAAAAGCGGAAAAACGAAAAAGAATAAAAGAAATGAAAAATAAATAAATAAAAGTGAAAATTTTATCAAAAATAACAAAAAAAAAAAAACGAAAAAAAACGAAAAACAAAAAGAAACATTTTCCGATTCCGGAGATAAGATAAAATAAATGTGTGGTCAATGGAGAACGGATGGTGTAATTGTGAAGAGGAGATGGAGAAGAGAACAAAATCCAGGTCGAAAGATTTCCCTGGAGAAAAAGTTAAATTGCCTTTGTATATCGGTCAGAGGTGTAAGTCTCTCTCTCTCTCTCTCTCTTTCCATTTTGATGCATTACATTTTTTGACATTTCACTTTTTCAAAGTTTTTTTTTTTGGGTCCGCATTGTTTTTTTTTTTTTTTTTTTTTTTACATCAATTTTAATTTTCGATAATAATGATGACGATTCAAAAAATATTTTTTTAAAAATTAAAACGTCAAAATGTTAAAAATAAGTATTTTTTTTTCTTTTTCGATCGAATAAAAATAATAAAACAAAATCACGTTGGCAAAACTGCGACAGCTGTACAAACCGGATATCATTCTAACACACGATTCCAAAAAATTGTGTAAACTAATTGAAGGATTCGAAAAAAATGGAGTAAAAAAAAGGTAAAAACCGGAAATGATTTCGTTATTATTGCGAGAGTCATGCCACATTCGATAAAAGGAAAATTTGAAGAAGATTTTTAAAAAATTTAAAAGAAATCGCGTTTGTGTGAGTCGGCCCCCACCATCGATATTTGAACGCTTATTCCCAAGGAACCGAGAGTTTTCCGAAATGAATGTTGAAAAGAATTCGATAAGTCTTATGACGTGATCGAAAGTAAAAATAATAATAATAATAATAATAATAAAAAAAGGGCTCTCCGGACAACAACAACAACAACAACTAAAAATTTTTTTTTATTTATTTTTAAAACCTATAAATTTTTTTTGTTTTTTCCAGGATGAACACAGGGGGCGGGGGTCATGATTCGATTAAATCAAATCCAGGAGTTCAAGTAGGAATTTACGGTTGGAGAAAAAGATGTCTTTACTTTTTAATACTCGGATTATTAATTATGGTTATTGTTAATTTAGCACTAACGCTTTGGGTATTAAAAGTTATGGAATTTTCATCGGTGAGTTTTTTTTTCTTTTTCTTTTTTTTTCCTTTGCTAATTATAAAAAAAAAAAAAAAAAAAAAACCATGGCGGTAACTAACCATAAACCGTAATCAAAAAAAAAAAAAACTAGTCTCGAATTAAGTAAATAAAATAACGGTTAAAACAAAACAAAACAAAAAAAAAAAGGTCGGGAGCATTTAGGGAACCGCATTGTTTTACCCCCCAAAAAAAAGAAACAAAATTTAAACATTCTTCTAAAAATGTTTTAAATTTTCCAAAGAAACAAAACAAAAAAAAAAAAAAAAAATTTGTTTTTCCAATTTTCCAATTAAAACTTTATTATTATTGTATTACATTTGACAATATTCATTCCATCATCATCATCATTTTTCCAAAAAAAAAAAAATAATAATAATAATAATAATAATAAAATAACCTTTCTTTTTTTTTTATTTTAGGAGGAGGGGGAGGGGGGAAACGCGTTAACATTAATAACAAACCGACGACTTGTATCAAACTACGTATATATCGATTTTCACCATAATAATAATAATAATAATAATAATAATAATAATAATAATAATAATAATAATAATAATAATAATAATAATAATAATAATAATAATAATTGTAAGAAATTTTACAATATTTGCGGTCACGTAAAGAATTTAATTTATTTGCTATAAATTATTGATAACTGTTCAAGTTAAACTATATTTAAATTTTAAAAACATAGTTTTCGCATTTATAACTTTTTTTTTTTTTTTTCACATTCTCCTTTCCCTCCTCCCTCCTTCCCACCTCTTAACTACCTACAAACCTACCTATCTAACTACCAACCTACCAACTTCCCAACCCACATCTACCTACTCCTCCTACCTCTGCCTGACCGTAGAAAATTAAAATTGAAAAGTTATTTAAATAATAACGGCGGGAAAAATTAAAAAAAAAACAAATAATAATAATAATAATAATAATAAGAATTTTCCTTTTTTACGAAAAACATTATGCAAATGATAACCTAACGATTATAATGATAATGATAACGACGATGATGATGATGCTTTGAAAAATTTTTTATTTTAATTTTAACGTGAGTTTTTTTATATTGAAAGGCTTTTACAAAGAAAAAAAAAAAAAAGAAATTTTTTATTATCATTTTTTTTCAAAAAGAGAGAAAGAGAGAGAGAGATAGAGGGGGGGGGGGAATGGGGCTTATTTATTCCTTTTAAAAGGTTCAACCCTCGATAAAATAATGTTTTTACATTATCAAAAATATTTTTTTTTTGACCATATAACAAAAAAATTTAAAGCTGTTGCTACAGAAAAAAAATTTTTTTTTTAAATGGGAATCCCTTAAATTTCCATTTAAAAAAAAAAGAAAAAAACTCGTCGTCTGCTGTTGTATAAAATTTCAAAAAAAAAAATGTAATGAACTCTATCGTAATTTGTTGTTAAATATGATGATGTTAGTACGAAATGAATTTGTAATAAAAAAAAAAATTTTTTTTTTCTTCTCTTTTTTCGACATTTTTCCTTTTCCGTTTTTCCCCACCCTCCCCCCGTCCCGCCCTTTTTTTCGTTTGGAATAAAACCGCCGCAGTTAAAATAAAAACAAAACATTGAAAATAAGATTCGCAATAAAATTTGATGCGCAGTATTATTATTTCCTCGGTGAATAAAAACAACAACAACACAAACATTTTCCATAATCCTTTTAAATTTTATCTTTTCCCGTATATAATTTTCCTTTAAAGAAAATTTAGGAACCGAATTAAATTTTAGTTAAAACGATGATTGGTACATTTCCACCATTGAACTAATTTCATCACAACAATTTAATTACTAACTAAATTCTAACCTTTTTTAGTTTTTTTTCCTCGACTAAAAAAACATAACCAACAAAAATTATTACCGGATAATAATAATAATAATAATAATAATAATGAAATTTTGTTTTTTGTTGTGTTTTCTTTTTGTTACAATTAATTATTATTATTATTTTGAATACCATTCGATAGAAAAGCACTAAACGAAAATTCAATTGAGTATAATAAAACTTGGGGGAAAATTAGTTTTCAATTACTTAAAATTTTATTTAAACTACGTAAACGATGATCATTCACGACTATTCCTTCTAGAAATTTCCTTATTATAAAACGTGAGAGTTTAATTAAAATATCAAAGTTTGAAAAGATTAAATGAGATGAGATGAATGACCCTATTGATAAGTTACCTAACTTTTACATAGTTGATGATGCTCTTTTATTATTATTATTATTTTTTATTACTTTCGAATTACGTTACGTAATTTTCCCCTTCCCCCTCCCCCCTCCCTCCGTATATAAAATCCGTTAAATTTTTAAACTCGAAAAAATTTAAAACGTGTTATGATTACACTACGTAGGCGAACTACAAATTTTTTTTTTTTTTTTCAAATTTTCAGGGTAATTTTAACCGAAAAAAAAAAAAAAATTTATGCTATTTAAATATAATTAAAGGTATAAAATATTAATAATAATAATAATAATAATAATAATAATAATAATAATAATAATAAATTTTATTTAATGAGAGCTTAAAAGTGAAAAAAAAAAAAAAAAATTGCAAAAAATAAAAAAAAAAGTTTTGTAACCTTTGACACCCAATCACAACACACGACGGGTTAAATTTAAAATTTGAGTTAAAAAAAAAAAACAATGACGTCACACGCATAATTTTCTTTTTCTTTTCTTTTTTTCCCCAACCCCTTTCGGTTCGTAACTGACACGTTCAATATTAAGGATATTTTATGATTGATTCATAACATAATGATATCAAAAAAAAAAAAACTTTTGTAACTAAAACAACTGGTAACACATTACGATGAAAATGATTTTTCCATTACTTTTATTTAAATGTGATTTTCTTTTTTCTTTCCTTTTCTTTCCTTTTTTTCTTTTCGTAAATGATAAAATTTCATGTGCTGTCGATTTTTATATTAAAATATCAATTTGAAAAACTTTTCCTTTTTTTTTTTTTTAACGATATTTGTCGTAAGAGAAAAAAAAAAAAATTTTTTTTTGTTTGTTTTATGCGTAAAAATATAACAATTTTCAAATGGAAAATTCGTCAGACACCGTTTATTATTATCATCTTTCCGGAAATCGTAATTAAATAAATTTTTTTTCTTTTGGGTGGAAAAATTTTTTATGCTTAAAGTGTATATACCGAGTAATAAAAAATTATTTTAATTTTAAATTGTGTAGGCTTTGCTTTGCTTACTAATGTGCTCGACCTCTCCCTCCCCTTCCCCACTCCCCAACCCCCTCCCCGTCCTTTTTTTTTTTTTAAACGTATAATAATAACGGAGAACGAACGTTTACTAATTACGTGTATCATTTACCGAATTTAATATCATTATTATTTTTTTTTTTTCTAAATTGCAAAATCCCCGTCGTTTTATTTTATTTTTTTGAATGATATCCTCCTTTCGTAACAAAAATAATTTAAAATCTTCCAATCCTAACAAACGAATTCGATAATAATAATAAAATTTCCTTAAAAATGTGTTTTCAGTCCTAGGGAAAACAACACAAAAAAAAAAAAAAAATTAGGATTTAATATAAAATCGACTACAGGTATACGTGTTTTAACCTGTTTAAATTGCATGTTGATACCATCGCGTGCCAGACATCATTCGAACAAAAAAAAAAAAAAACCTCTCGTGATAACCATATACTTTTCATAACTTAACTTTTTTTTTTTAACCGTAATACTACTCTTTATTACGTGGTTTAATATTTTTTTTTTTTTTCCTTTTTTTTTCCTTTCATAAGTTTATATCTTTTTATTATTTAAAACTCAACGAAAAAAAAAAAAAAAAAAAAAAAAAAAAACCTTTATTTGGGGGGTGAACCTTCAAAAAAAAAAAAAAAAAAATTTTAAAAAAAGTTTTTTCCAAAATTTTTTTTTTTTT